TATACACTAAATGGATGGCAATCGCTGTAAATATTTCTGCTACTAATAGACATAACTGAAAAGAAAGAAATGCATAACATCTCCTATTATAGAAGCCCACATGTGCTCTTGATATTTGAACATGATCATTGGCTTCCTGTTATTTGAACAAGTTATTTGCTTCCTGAGTCAACAAAGATATGTGCTAGGCTTTTATTACCACAGCAGGGAAGGATTATGTACCCAGAGCAGCTGTTAAGTAGCAATAAGATCACTATGAATGGTTTATAATACGCCCTGAGTGCTATGCAGCCACACAAAGATGCAGTTGCTATCACAAACATATTGGCCTTCTGCACACACACACACACACACACACACACACACACACACAAGCACACTCATTAACCCTTAGAATAGTTTATATACAGAATAAAGAAATGAGACATACTAGTAGTCCTTTATTTATGACTGGTCGCTTAATGGGCATTCTGTTATGATGGACCAAAAAAAGATAGTTACAACCCGGATTCAATGGTCAGAGGAAACCCTGCCCCCCCTTGCAGTCACATGATCGCATTTGTGATGCTTGGTAACCAGCCCACATTTATGGCCATTTGCAACCTCCCACAGTCACATGACTGCACTATGCAATGTTTTGAGGGGAGGGGTTTGCTAAAAACTGACATTTATATTTCATATTTCTTAAGTGCCCCTCCCATATCTACTAGTTTCCAGTGAAAAAGACCCTTTGCAGACAATGGGTTCATTTAATGACCACAGTACTTGCTTAACAACCACAGATTCACTTAATGACTACAGTGGATCGACCATCACGAAAAAAATTGTAAAATCAGTCACACGACGACCTGCTTAACAACTGGCAAGACGTACGATAGCAATTCCAGGCTCCCTTAAAGAGAAAGGTGGAAAGGTTCAATAACGCTCACAAGGAGGAATGGCTGGTGAAGATGGCAGAACTTGCAGAGATGGCCAAATTAATTTTGTTGCTTAGAATGAAAATAATATCTACATATATGGCTGACTGGAAACACCTTAGAGATTTTTTGCATAAAATGGAAAAAATGCACTTAGGATTTGTGGTTTTTATGATTAGAAAAAAACGCTGGATAATAGAAAACGAATTTTCTTTTGTAATCATAGAGTAAGAGATAATTTTGTAATTCAACTTAAATTTGCTGCAAAGGAATTGGAAGCTTTTTTCTATTTCTTTGTCTTCCTTTTTTCTGTACTTTTCTCTTTTTACTTTCTTATTCTATTCTCTTTTTTCTGCTTTTTCTTTTTTGATAGTCTATGGAGTATTTTGTAATTTTTTTTAATAAACAAATATTTTTTTTAACAAAGGATGAAGTCAGCTCCCAGGAACCCACTCACCAATTATCCTTGTCAGTCCTATATTGAGACCTTGCTGAGCCCCTCCAAGAATATAGACATCTGAAGATTCAGATCCAGAAGTCTGAGAAATTCACAAATTACGATGTATATTAAAACATCTCTTTTATGATCTATTTTAAATATTAGGTTTTATAATTAGTGAAAATACTTAACTAGTTTTTTATGTACACCATCAAACTCTCTTGGAATGGATCTTCCTATGGCCTTAAAAATATTTTGTTATACAGAAATAAAAGGAAGAAAAATACAATAAAAAAGCAAAAATATATAGAATTTAAAAGTATATTGGGTATGTCTAGTTTAATGAAGAGAAGGACTAGGAGTGACATGACAGCAGTGTTCCAATATCTCAGGGGCTGCCACAAAGAAGAGGGAGTCAAGCTATTCTCCAAAGCACCTGAAGGCAGGACAAGAAGCAACGGGTGGAAACTAATCAAGGAGAGAAGCAACCTAGAACTAAGGAGAAACTTCCTGACAGTGAGAACAATTAATCAGTGGAACAGCTTGCCTCCAGAAGCAGTAAATGCTCCAACACTGGAAGTTTTTAAGAAAAGACTGGACAGCCATTTGTCCGAAATGGTGTAGGGTTTCCTGCCTGAGCAGGGGGTTGGACTAGAAAACCTCCAAGTTCCCTTCCAACTTTATTATTCTATTCTATTCTATTCTATTCTATTCTATTCTATTCTATTCTACTCTACTCTACTCTACTCTACTCTTATTCTACTCCATGATTGTCACTTGGGAGTAAAGCTGTTTTCTCTCAATCTTTATTGCTATACTTCATGCTTAATAAAGTCAATATTCTTCATATATTAACCAGTTACACATTTTTGGTATATGATTCAATATTACACTGACATCTTGTTATCTTGTTATCTCAGATAACTTGACATAACACAATCTTTTCCAAATCATAAAGTATTTTTATGTCAAAGTTTATAACAAGGCATATATTTCTAAAGTAAAATTACAGATAAATCATATTCCCCATACAGTACTTAGAATAACTGCAGTTTTTTAAAAAAAACATATCTTCTGACATTTTCTGGAGATCTGCCTATCTAAAATAAAACTTTATGATCCTGAGATTCTTCAGTTTAGGATTCTTCCTTCCTCCAAACTCACTAAATCTCGTTTGCTCTCTCTCAAATTAGCCTTCAGTCCTTTCCCAGGAATCTTTTTGTTTTATTTTGTTTTGTTTCGTTGGCCAATGCTTCTTCCAGAAGATTTTTATGTATATGATTCAAATAATTTGGAAACATTCCCACTGACATGAAATTGTCCAGGCAGTGTTTCTTCTTTCATAACAAGCCTAACTGGGATTGATTCCTTAGTTTTAACAGCTCTTTTGATTGGTTATTCCCTCATAAATGGCTGCTCACATTCCATGAAGACGCTAGATGTCACAGTATTAAAGTTTTTGGCTGAGACCTGAGCAATGCAGATCTGATTATTGATGCTCTTTCCCAACTATCAAATTCTGACCACCTTTAACATATACACGCTTCTTAGAGAGCAACCAGTAGCACTGACTTTGTGCAAGATAGCATAAACCTTTGAAAGGGTGTTTTACTTCCATGAAAATATATACTAAGCTTCCTTTCAAAGCTCCTTTAGAACAGGGGTCCCCAACCCCCAGTCTGTGAAGGCATTGGGTCACGGCATGCCAGAAACCGGTCAGTGCAAACAAGCAAAGCCCCGTACATGAAACCATGCTCCCTCCGGTCTGCAGAAAAACCTCTCTCCACAGAACTGGTCCCTGGTGCTCAAAAGATTGGGGATCTCTGCTTTAGAAAATACTCTTCTTTCTGCCTCTTGAAAGTGAAGTGGCCACATTTCTTAATTTGGAATGTCTTCCAACAGATTCCAAAGCCTGAAGAAATTGTTTCTGTCTGGCCACCTAAGAACTGATTAGAAGTGCTAAAAGACTCCTATGCAGTGCGAGTACAAAGCACCCCCCACCCACTTACTGGAATGGCTGAGGTGAGTTCTCCACTGTTGTTCAATATCTACTCTGAGTCAATCTTCAACGAGGCACTGGAGAACATCGATGCTGGCATCAAAGTAAACAGTGTTTGGATCAACAACTTAAGATATGCTAACGATACAGTTCTGCTTGCCAGTAAGCATGAAGACCTTCAACTCCTTATCAACAGAGTCACAGAAATATCTGAAAAATACGACTTGAAGCTTAACACCTGAAAAAACAAGATCATGGTTGTCAGCAAACAACCCATTAATTTACCACCAATAAATTCAGAAGGAATACCATTAGAAAAAGTTGAAAAGATCACACACCTCGGTTCCAACTTACATGAAAGCTGGGACATGACCATTGAAGTAAAGACAAGAATAGAAAAAGCTTGAACAGCATTCTTCAAAATGAAAAAGGTCTTCTGCAGTCACGACATAAGCCTAAGACTGAAAATCAGGCTTGTCAGATGCTATATTTTTTCTATCCTGCTCTATGGAGTAGAGAGTTGGTCTCTGACAGAAGGCCACCTGAAGAGACTAGAAGCATTTGAAATGTGGATTTAGAGGTGGCTGTTATCTATAAGCTGGGTTGAAAAGATCAGAAATGAGGAAGTGATAAGCTGCCTGGGAAAGCCAAGGGAAATCATCAAAACAATTAAAAAACAAAAATTAGAATATTTCAGACATGTGATGCAACACCCAGAAAAATACGGGATACTCCCTTTAATCCTCCAGGGAAAGATTAAAGGTAAATGAGGTTCAGGCAGAAGAAGAACATCATGGCTTCAAAATCTAAGGGACTGGTTTGGACAAAACTCAGCAGCACTTTTTCGTGCGGCTGCTGATAAAAACAGGATGGCCAACATGATCACCAATGTCCGATAACAGATATGGCACAAGAAGAAGAGTTCTTCATTGTGAAACACTCTGCACAATATCTGTTATCAAATGCCTTGTTGAGGGAACCTGAAGCCACCCTTGACCCATCACTAACTGGTTGGCCCTTGATCCATCACTAACTGAATTCCAGGATAGGGCAAAAAGATCATAGTGTGAAGCAGAGTGTAAAACCAAGTTTTCAACATGGAATGTGGTTTCAATACCTAGGTGACATTTTGTTTTTCTGGAAATAACCAGTTACCACCACTGTAATATATTTTGCCCCATGGGAAAGAGCTGACCTGCTTTTTCTCTTCCTACTCCCTCCTTTTCTTAAATTACTAACTGGATTCTCCTATTTTGCTCTTTCCTGCCTGGGGCTACCTTAAAGATACAGAGCTTAAGTCTGACTGCGATGCATCTCCCATTTGATTAACAGGAGATCAAGCAAGAGGATCTCCCACTACATTCGCCTGTCGGTCTCCCAAGTACACTTCTCCCTAACAGGTGAATCACACCCACAATGGTACCCCCCCCCCCAAATGCTTGAGGAAAAAAAAGCGAGGAACGGGTTAAGCATTAGCCAAAAAATTGTGGGCGTTAGTCTGCAATAACGAGCACGACATTAAAGGAAAAGTTCGTCTGTACCAATTGGAAGTTCTTTGTTGCTGCCAACAATAACATTACGCACACGCGCGCGCGCGCGCACACACACACACAAACACACACACAAAAGTGCATGTAGGTAGCAAGTAAAGTTTACTGCTTGGAAACAATTCCTTTTTCGGTATCCCAGTTCAGACATCTGCCTTAAATGCACAGGTGACAGAGACGGGAGGCTCAGTTGTTGCACACCTGGGCTGCTCCTAGCGCCCGCGGCTGCCTCACGAGCGGGCTTATAGCCTGGGCGGGGAAAAGGCTCTCCTGCGGTCAGAGCGCGGGAGCGGCGCGGGCCCGCCCGCGCTTCCCCTCGATCAACCGAGCGCTGAAAACTTTCGGAACCGCTTTCGTCGTCGTCCTCCTCCTCGCCTCTCCGTTGAGTGACGCCTCCCATCGCCCGCCGCCACCGAGGAGGGACAGGCTGGCCCCGCCCCTCGGAAAGAGACTCCCACCAATGCCACCTCTGCTTCTCCCACCGAGGCGACCGCCACATCTGGCCGGCTTAAGGAGAGAGGAACAGGAGCGGCCTGGCGAGGCAAAGGACTTCCCAGGAAGTCCCGAACAAACGCCCCGGTTCGCCGGTTCTGTCAAACCTGACGGGGCGTTTCGGGGCTCCGTCTCGCGCCACGCGCGCCCTTTTTCTTGCTTCCTCCCCCTTCCTTCCCTTCTCTTCCCTGCCTGAGCAATTCTGAAGATGAGGAGGGGGAAGGGAAGAAACAAGAGAAGCGACACGGGTCTGGCTGCCTCCGAGCCGTCGCTTGCGTGAAGCCGAGGCGGGCGCGGAGGAGCCTTCGAAGAGCCCCAAGCGGTGGCTCCCGCCAGGTAAATGCCAAACGAAGCAGGGAGGGGCGGGGGTGGGGGCGAAGGACGCCTCTCTTGGCTGCCGTTCTGTGGCTGAGGAAATGCCCGTGCCTCGTGTGAAGTAGGGCAGGCGCCGCCGGCGTCTTAGGGATTCCCTCCGGCGTGGAGGAATAACTCTTTGTTCTCCTTCCTCCGTTCCCAGATCCGGGTCCCGGGAAGAGCCGAAAGGCTCGCGGAAGAGGGAGGGGGGCGGGCAGGCTAAAGGATCGAGGGCTGCATTTCTCAAAATAGGGCGCTCCCGCCTTTTCGATGGAGCCGCTTGGTCTCCTTCGGGTCCGCCCGTCTTCTGCAGCTGCTACACCCTCTTTTGTTTGACTGGCAACATTCGCGAATTCTTCCGTTCGGAGTCCATTCCTAGCCAAAACCGCTTTAAAGGCATGGAAATGGGAAGAGGCGCTGGGTGGGATGACTCCCTGGGTAGTTTCAACGTTTCTCTCGCCCTCTCTGGGCGTTTAAAAAGGGTTGGGTTTTTTTTTGCTCTTTATATTTAGCTTTTAGCGGGACGCTGGGTCATTTGTGCGCATATGCATACAACCAACAGTTGTTTGGTTCTGGCTTTCTTACAGCCAAAGAAGGACCAAGAGTGAGCAACACTACTTTTCCCTTGGTTGACAGACGTGGTGATGAGGCGTTTCAATTCATCCTAAATGGCACTAGGATTGTGGTCTCAACGGAGTTTTAAACTAGCCTGGTTGCAAAACAGATTATCATATTCATATGACCTGCTAAGACTTTAAATGGACCCTAAATTTGAACGTATTTCTGCTCAATCATTCTGTAGAAGTAAAGGTGAGCATAAAAAAAAGTTTGTTAAGTGTAGTATTTGTGGGAGGTGACAGAATTTTCTGATTTGTGTGATTTAACCCTTAAGTTATAGAACAGATTTCCTAAAATATAGTACCTCTAAACTTCTGTCATTATCCACTAATACAGATAGTCCTTGACTTATGACCATTCATTTAGCAACCATTCAGAGTTACGATGGTGCTGACAAAAGTGACTTATGACTGCTCCTCACTCTTAACAACCATCTCAGGATCCCTGCAATCACATGATCAGGTACTTGGTGTCCAGTATTTATAATGGTTACAGTGTCCTCGGGCCAAGTGATGGTCATCTGCAACCTTCCCAGTGAGATAAAGGAAAGGCAATGGCAGAAGCTGAATTCATTTAACAACCATGTGATTTGCTTAACAGCTTGGCAAGAAGGTCACAGTATTGGTCATGGTTGTGTGATGACTCATTTAAAAATTACATCACTTAGGGACAGAAGTTCTAGTTCCCAATTGTGGTTGTAAATCAAGGACTACCTCTATGGCTAAGCTGGCTGAAAATGATGGAAGTTGTATCCAGTGCTTCCAAAGGGGTGGATACTCAGTTGGGGAAGATTGCAAATTGAAGTTCCTAGAAAACTAAACATGAAACCTTGGATGGTAAAATTCTGAATAAATTGAAGTTTTCAGACATTCTGCACCTAATTAGAGAAATGTCAGGATCTAACCCTTACTATTTAGTTCAGGTCTTTCTGTAAAACTAGTTTTTTTAAAAAAATTCTCAGTTCAAATCTAGGTAATACTGAAGACATGTATTTTAGTCATAATAGCTTGAGTGTTTCACACAGGGGTTTTTTTCTGTTAAATCGTGTCCAATTCTTTAAGATGGCTTGAATAAATCCTTGCAATTTTTTTGGCAAGGTTTTTCAGAAGTAGTTTGCCATTGTCTCCTTAGGGCTATTGAAATCCCATTTACTTTACTATTTATGGCCACTGCCAATGTGGAGGATTCCATTTTGTATAAAACAAAGGGGGAAAAAACTTTAAGTAGCTTGGAATTTTCTTGTAGTTTCTCTTTAAAATTTTATTACTTGATATGTTATTTTGTTTGTTGAAACTGGAACATGCTCTAATATTCCAGCTTTGGCAGACAACATGTAAATGTGTTGAATAATAGAAGTGTTTCCACTTTGATAATTGAAGAAAATCTACTTAAAAAGAGAGAGAAAAGCTATATTGTAATTAAATAGAAGCATGAATAGTTGAATAATTTAGCAATACTTCTTCATTTTATTCCTAAATAAAAGCATTTTAATGTCTACATTGCCACTAACTTTTCTTTTCAAGCAACATATTTGTAAGTGTATAATTAAGAAGTAATTTGGATAATTTAATGCATGAGTAACAATTAGTTTTTTTGTTCTGAATAAAAAGTAGTGTTCATATAGAAGAAAACGAAATATAGATATGCAGTAATTTGGAGAAGAAATTATTACATTTTTGTATCTGACACTGAAATATATATTACTTGTTGCTCATTATTGGATTATTTGTGAGATCCTGATGGAAAAATATGATAAGATTACCATTAATTTATTTAGGCTTTCAGTTATGGAAAATGTGGGTCACGTAAGCAGTTCACCATTTCCATAAACAGGTTTTTGATTTCTGGAATGTATCTGAAATAAGAGTGCAGTTTTAAATTTTAAAAAGTCAGTTTAAGTTACACGGATAAGAACATCCTTACATATTACTGATTTACATCAACAGTTCCTCTATGTGAGCGTTTTCTTTGTATGTGCAATTCTATTTTTCACCCTTTGTTTTAATGTCTACCAGCTCTACTGGACCACGCAGAAGACAATGGTTTATCTATAGATTTTAAAACTGGGATGTCTATATCAGGGCTTTTCAACCTTTTCACCAATTCTACCACTTTTAGGATATGGCAATATTCAAGTACCACCTAGCAAGGTGTCAAAAACTTGATGACCAAAAAAAAAAAAAAAACCTTCAGAGTTGCAATTGCACTGAAATGACTTATGACCATTTTTCACACTTATGACCATTGCAGCATGCCCAAGGTCATGTGATTTATATTTGGATACTTAGCAACTGATTCATATTTATGATAGTTGCAGTGTCACAGGGTCATGTGATCCCTTTTGCAACCTTTTGACAAGCAAAGTCAATGGCAGGGCTGCTGGTGGCCAAGTGCTAAGGCGGGACTTCCTTCCCTCCCTCCCTCCCTCCTTCCTTCCCTGCCTCTCTCTTTCTCATTCCCATCTCCTTCTGAATTTGAACCCCCGCCCATATTTTCCCTCTTCCATATAAGCCGCTGAGGGAACTAGCTTAAAACGCATTCCCCTTTAAGAATTAGCTATTGGCTAGAAAGGAAAGTTACTGCAGCCGGAACTTAAGGAAGAAAAAAAATGTAGTAAGTACTGGCTGCCGGCTAAGGCAGCCTCCCCAAATGGCACCATTCATAAGTAAAGGAATGCTACAGGCAAAATCCATTCAGGAGAAAAATACTTCAAAATCCCTTGCAGCAAAACTTACAGTTAACAATAGCACAGCAATAGAAGCTAACATGAGACATCAGCCATCCGCCAAATAGAAATTGCCAAACACTCCTTAAGAACACAAAGCCCACATTGCACAAATCCCAGAACTTCAAAATCACAAAAACACATAAGAATCTTTCCACTCTCCATCTCCCTCCCTCCGTGCCTCGCCTCCAGCCAATGCTACCTTTCTTCATTGCTGCCTTTCTTCATTCCTCGTGGAGGGTGACCCTTCTCCCGCTGTGTTTCTTGCCTCTTTGTTGCTGCCAGCACAGGTGGCTGCCACAGAAGTTGCAGATTGGCTCATGGCCAGCCTGCTTGATCTACTCTTCTCTCCCCCCACCTTTCTTTCCCTTCAGTGCAGCTACAGCTGACTCCACCTCCTCCCAAGGCTGTTTCTTTTTCTCTCTCACTCTCTCTTGCCCAAACTTTCTCCTTTTATAGCCTCTCCTGTCTCCACCCGCTCCTCCTCCTTTCTCATCCGGGAGACCAGGAAGTGAGCCTGGGGCCTTTGCCTTGCCCCAGCCACTCTGCAGTTCCAGAGGACTCTCTCACAGTAAGTCCTGTTCTGTGCTGGCTTGTTCCCTCCCCTACTACATTGGCTGGTCAGGGCCATGTACCAGCTGCCATGTGCTAATGTACCACAGATAGTATGCGTACCACCAGTTGGAAAGCCCTGGTCTATATAGTTCTACTCACTGTTTCTCTGATGTACTCTCCTTTGACATCTTGTCACTTTTTCTCTTGTATGAACTAAGAGGAGAGAGCTGACATTAGGAATCGGATACTTCATGAGTTACTTTTTCTGATGTGGATATGAATCTCTTGTTGGAAAAATATTGGAGTCTGTAAGTATGAATAGTGCCATGCATTGCTATGCATACTAATCCATGGTTCTTGTTATGTGTGCATTGGAAGAGAAAACAAAAGGATATTCTTATGAAAGAACTTTTTCCATTATAGATACTGATTAACATATAGAAGAATGCAAGAATTACCTAATAATAGATCAGTCAATAGTATATGTATTGCATGTTTCACATAGGATTTTTTTCTATTTCAATATGGAACCATCAGGAATTAAAATAAGACTGTGCATGCAATATAAGCATCAGTAAATTAGTACTATTTTTCTGCACATGGCTGAATGTCATATCTACTTTGGCAAAAGTGATTCATCCTCCTTTCTTAGATAGAAGTAAATACATATATAATCACATAATTCATTGTTAGCAGTTTTACGAAGACAACTGTAAAAATCTGTAACCAGGATTCATGGCTATTAAGCTGATGAAGGTTATGATGACAATAATAAATGCTTATTATTATCATCAACATTGCAATCATAATAATTTATTAAATTTGATGCCAACTCCCAGCATCTCCATCTGAATTTGGTTTAGCATCTTGACTTTTGATGATGCTATAGCTTTGTATCCTGAAATGTGGAAGCACAGCATTTTTTAAAGACTATGTCACCTAGCAATGTTACTTTACAGCCTTTAACCTGTCTAATGAAGACAGATATATGTGTCCCAGAATAATATTGCAAGATACAATCTGAGTCGGTCACTGGGACCAGAGGTTTACTTTTCAAAGCTTTTGGACTAGTACTGGAGCCCATTCTCAGGGAACTTGCCTTTTTCTAGAATGTCATCCTGGAAAGAGAGAAGTTCCCTGAGAATGGGCTTCACCACGAGTCTGAAAACTTGGGCGTCAAACTCACTGTGTCACATGACGTGTCGCGACATATCACGACTTTTTTCCCCTTGCCGGAGCTGGGGTGGGCGTGGCTTCTGTGTGACGCATCTGGCCCATAGGCCGGCAGTTTGACACCCCTGATCTAAGACATTGTGTAACTGCTCTGTCATTTCAGTTAAAGTAACTGGTGTGCTTAGTGTTTTTCTCCAGAATTTTTCATCAGGAAACACTCTAATACATAGAATAATAGATAGCAATTTCAAGTATGTTATAAAAACACTGATTTTAATTTAAAATACTTTTTAAAAAGTATTTTTTTAAAAAAAACAGATCCAAAATTTTTCTGGAGCAAAATGCATGTAATAAACAGTATGGTAGAGTTGTTCAGGTGCTTGACTGTTCCTGTAGAAAACTAGATTCTTGTCTACCTTAAAATATGGAAATTTACTGGATGATTATGGACCAATCACTCTGTCTTGGCCCAATGTAACTCACAGTGCTCTCATCTCATGGAGACATTTATAGAACTAATTCCTTATATATAAACAATGGGCACTTACATTTTGTAGGTTAGGATGCACTACTGTAAGTTATGGTGTAGTAAGGCACAGAGCAGAAGGAACTTTTATTGTATTAATGAGTACATTTTGGAAATGTTTCTTTTTCAAAGTATTGTAGTTAAAAGATACAAAAAGAAACATGAAAAATATGCTTACGAAGACAAAAGTTCAACTTCTATTAATTCAAAAGTATCTCCTATCCCAAAGTAAAAAATGAGTCATGCTATTTACAGAACAGTTTTTGTATTTCTTTTTGTATTATTTAACTACATGGTCTTTAAAAGGGACCCACTAGTCCAAATAAGTTATATAATACAATAAAACCTTGTCAGGTAGTTGGTTTTGTATGTAATTCATCACTATTTTAATATTGCCATGATATATAGCATGCATAGTATTATTAATTAAGGTTTATATTATTTCTTGGGTAAAAGGAAAGATGTACTTCAGCTTTTACATAAAGAGTGAATCATATAATTGTAATGGAAAGACACCTTAATTGTAAAACCATTCCCAAGTACCTCTTCACAATCAATGTCAGAAGTCTTTTTCTCCATAAAAGCCTGGAAATAATTGGCAAAACTACATCATTATAATTTTCTGAAAAATGGTCAGGCTCTCATAAGAAACCGTTGCAAAGTATATGTTGAGGAAAATGCATTATTCAAAAGATAGTTGAGTGAATATTCTGTTAATACTAAAAAGTTTTGAAAGGCCATATTAAATTAATTATTTTATTTCATAGTTAAAATGTATGGAGAAGAGATGGGAACTTGAACACATTCCTTTAACAATGTTCTGTTTTTTACCATAATTAACTTTAACAATTAATATTGTATGATGAGAAGTATGATAATTTTTCATTATGTTTCCTTTTAAATTAAACTTTGTGGCAACCTTGAAGAATTAATTAAGAAATTATCTGAGTAGGGAAATAAAAACTGAAAGATAATGAATCTTTGCATTAATTAATCAATTCATAGAAAAGATGGTGGTCCTACCATGCTTGGTGAAGAAATCTGTATTAAATAATATAATTCCTCTTGAATCCCATTACTAATTATAAGATTGGATTGCTGCATAAGAGCTGCAATCTTTATATGGGAGCAACTCTCACAGTAATCAATGGAATAGTTAGAGACAAGTATATTAATAGAGAACCCTATCATAAGCAGCATCAGAATAATGTTGCAATGTTGCAACGGCTTGTCTAAGTGAAGTGTTATGGGCAACTTTATCTTTTCACCATATGAAATCAATGGATAAGCCAAGAATTTTAGGTTCTAATATAAACCCCAAAATTTGGGTTTGGCTTATCTGCAGATGGGCTGAATCATGAATAGATCTGTTATACTTTTCTAAAGTATATGCTTGCCAGTAAGTGAAGCCTCAAATTTTTAACCAAAATGCCATGAAAATGTACCTCCTGTAGATCAGGGCTTTTCAACCAGTGGTACGGGTACCACCTGTGGTACATTGGCATCTGACAAGTCGTACGCGACCATCCTAGAAAAGTGGCAGCGAGGGAGGGGAATGAGCTGAACCAGTGGCAGCACCGCACAAACCTGAGCGAGAGATGGCTGGAGCTGCAGGGCTGTCAAGGATCAGTGGAAGAGCCAGGATCAGCGCCAGGCTCCAGCTGGAGCTCAGCGCTGATCCTGGTGCTTCTGCTGAGCCCTGAAGAAGCACCAATCAGCTGGAAAGCAGCACTGATCCCGGTGCTTCTGCTGAGCCCAGAAGAAGCGCCGATCAGCTGGAATGTTGCAGCATCTCCAGGGTCTTGTGATTTACATTCAGATGCTTGGCAACTGATTCATATTTATGATGGTCACAATGTCCCAGGGTCATGTGAAGTGACCAAAATCTGCTGCAACCACCCAGCAGACGGGGGAATAAAAAACAAACACTCCCCCCACCCCACCCCCGCTGCCAATTCTCAACAGAAATGCTCACAACAATGAGAGAGAGGAGGAAGAGTGCCGCCGGGCGGGCAGGCAGGTGTCTTGCTCGGCTGTGGCTTGGGGGGCACTTTTTTCAGTGTCATTGTAACTTCGAACAGTCACTAAGTGAACTGTTGTAAGTCGAGGACTATCTCTACTTTATCACTTTTTCCCTTTTTTTTTTTTTTGGTCATCAAGTTTTTGACACCTTGCTAGGCGACTGGTGGTACTCGGATGTTGCCATATCCTAAAAGTGGTACAGTGGGTGAAAAGGTTGAAAAGCCCTGCTGTAGATGAATCTGTTGTGCAAATTTAAATCAGAATCTGTTCTGGAAAATAACATGTATGGATACAAAATAGGAAAACAAAAGAAGTCCTTCAGAATATACTGAAGAAACATAAGAAAATTTTGAGGGTCGGGCTTATTAGGTAGTATATTTTGCTTAAAAATGTTAGAGTTAGCTTATTTGTGGATGGACTTATCTATGACTACATACAGTAGTTTTTGATGTCGTATGGCTGTAATGACTGAAAGTAGGATTAATTGATTAATTATGTACCATGAAGTAATTATTGGCTCTTTAAGTCAAATAGAAGGGTTTTCATCAGGATGATCTAGCGCTGACCTAGCCTTTCAAAACTTCCAGCAGTTGCATGCACCACTGTTGTAATTAAGTCCATCTACCTTGCATTACCAGGTAGTCTTTGATTTACGACTACAATTGGACCAGAATCTTGGTCACTGAGTAAAGCTTTAGTTAAGTGAGAAATTATGTGACTGCTTTGCTCAGTGACCACAATCCTGGCACTCCTAGTTGTGGTCATTAAACAGAGAGGTGGGTAAGGTGGGTGGGGTGCATTCAGAGAGATGAGGGAGACTCTGGAAGGTGGAGATCACACACAGGTGTCTCTTCACTCACTGATATCCCAAGCAGGATATTCAGCTCTCCTTTGCCTTGTTTTTGGGCCCAATATCTCTGGAAAGCATTTCTGAGTCATGTGGCTAAAGAAGCTGCTTTAGACACATGTAAATTCACCACAGAAACTGTGTACAAAAAAGAAGTGTCAAAGGGAGTGTAAACACAGCGAAAAGGAAGTGATCTGGTGCTGGTCTAGGACAACTTGGCGAGGCCAACTGGCTGCCGGACAACTCACTGCAGGATAAGAGTTACACTAAAATCAAAGAAATGATGGAATAGATTCATTAAAGAAAAGATGACAAAATTTAAAATAATTAATTTTATCTTTTGCTGAGTTGAGCTTCCCAATGTTTATATTTTTTTATATTCCATGTTTCCACTGTAATTCTTCCTTTGTAGAACTGGATTATGTTTTCCTGCACGTCGGGAAAGTAGATGTCTCAAAAGCTTTCAATCTAGCCATATCATACACATCATTTTAATCTAGCGAGTTCAATCTTTTCAAACATCATTTCAATTTAGGCATATTATAACCACTCTGAAAGCTCCTCAGCTCTTCCTCAATAGCATGCTATTAAGTCCCATCTGATTTGAAGGGCCCACCCTCCAGCATTATTTTGCCAATTACTTTATATTGTCTATCCATGGAATTTTTTTTAAAGAAAATACTGGCATGGTTTAATCTTGTATGAATGATGCCTTTGCTGTTGTCATTAAAATAAACGTCCACCTCCAGAATTGCTTCTGCCCAATATAAGCGCCTATTTACTTTAACTGGGAAGATGAAACCTACAGGGAGTGTTTTATTTTTTATTATTTTCTTTTATCCATAGGGCCATCCATCTCAAATTCATGAGATTAGAGAGATAACAACAGTTAAAAATACAAGAAAGAAACGTAACAATAAAAACACACATATATAATCAGCAATCAAGGTAAAAAAGAAACACCGTGGGATAAAATATCCTTGATGTGTAGTCCCTGCATTTTTTGCTCATGCCAGTGTGTGTGTGTGTATGTGTGTCTGTCTGTCTTTATCTATCTATCTATCTATCTATCTATCTATCTATCTATCTATCTATCTATCTATCTATCTAATGTGTCTGCAGGTCCCACAGATATATGGATATCAGTAGGAAAAGAGGTCTGGGAATTTTGATCCAAATGAGATGGCAGATGCATGTATGGTGTGTTCAGGGCATATATCTGCTATTCATATTTTACACAATATTATTTTGCTTTATTTGAGGCAAACTTGGCTGCAGCATAAAATATAAAATTACCTTGGTGCAAATCCTGTTTCTTGAGTTAAAAGTAACTTGGTATTTTCTGTCCAGTCATTACTGTAAATACATAGGTGTTTGAGAACCCTAATATTAGGGCTGTCCAAATGATTTTGAAGAAATGCTTTGGGCACCATATAAGCACAGCAACTCTCCAGCATTAAAGCAGCTTATCCTTTTTTCAAGCTTATGAGAAAGCTAGTAAAGAGATGAGTTTCTTTATTGAAGTGTCATGCAAAATCTAAATTACTTCTTCCTAATTATTTTTAAAATGTGAATCCTGTAATCCTATTGAGTGTGTAATCCAATAAGATTTAGTGGCCATGTTCAACCAAACATATTTCATTTTATTAAGTTCAGATATTTTATAACCGTTTGTCAAAACATACAAATCAATTTATGACTGCAGTTGGAACTGGATTTTTAGTTGTAAGTCATTGTGATCATAAGTCGAGGAATCCATGTGACTAGACCCAATTTTATGACATTTTTTGTGGCAATTGTTAAGCAAGTCTGTGGTCATTAAGTGAACAACATTGTTATGTAGTGATATAAGAATTAGAAATTGGGGCTCCCTAATTACAGAACAAACAAGAGTAACTTTACTTCTTGTTTTAAAGCTTGTCTGAATCTTGATTAGTAAAGCGCTACACTACATTTCTTACTTTCTGGTTTATTACAGGAAAACAAACCATGGTTTAAAATAAATTCTAATGAATTGTTATAGAAGCCAAGTTTGCAGGTTTATTTCCGAAAATATCACTTATTTTAAACAACAGCTCTAGGTTCATATGCCATTGCAAGCTGGAAATTGAAATTAAATCCTGGTTTATTCCTCCATCTATTTCTTTAGGAAGGTGGAGTTGAGGAGAGGGGAGTACGAACTAGATAGGCACTGGACTGCTTTTGTTTCTAACTGTAGTGCTAAGCCATGATTTAGCACAGCAGCTCAAAACCTTTTCTATGCCCCGCACTCCTAGAACGCTTCTGATATATTTATTTATTTATTTATTTATGAGACTTATATACCGCTTTAAGTGCAAGCACTCTCTAAGCGGTGTACACCAGTAAGCAATGTATATATGTATATATTTACATTGCCCCCAACAATCTGGGTCCTCATTTTACCTACCCCGGAAGGATGGAAGGTTGAGTCAACCTTGAGCCGGTGAGATTTGAACCACTGACCTGCTGAACACAGTCAGTTAAAGTGGCCTGCAGTACTGCACTCTAACTGCTGCGCCACCTCGGACCCCTTATAAAAGATTGAAATAACGGAAACGAATTATGCATGTACACTATAATTTTGAAAACCCAAGTTTTCGCACCCCCTGGAATATCGTCTCACACCCTCAGGGGGTGCAAGCACCCCTGGTTGGGAACCCCTGGTTTAGCATCACATCTGAACATCCCTTATTCACCCGAGACATGATGATTAAATTACAGGAAAAGACTTTGATCGTGTATATCATACTTTAATTAAATGAGAGATTCTTAGTTGTTCTCTGAAGACATGAATCCTTTGTGTATGAGGGAAAATTAGCATACAAAAGTAAAATACAGTGACACATGTTACTTCTATATGAAATTTAATTCAAATTTATTCTTATAACAAATTCTACCTGCACTGATAATTTCAGTTCCTTTTGGTTTATAAATTCTCTTCCTGCTCTCTTTCTATGAACTAATAATAAGAATTGCCATGAGGTACTGTTTAAAAAGAGAAACCAGATGCTGAGGGGTGCTTCTATTTTAAAAATAATCATTGTGTGCCAAATGCTTAGTAATAAGCAGAAGAGAAAGGTAAATATAAAGGTTGTATTCCAGTGCCTGGTTCAAATGTTTTCCTTCCCCACCCACTGTCTTCTGAAAGAGGGTTGTAGTTCAAGTGTCTGTGGAAACAGTTTACGCTGGTGAGACCACCTGTGTGTCCACCTTGCTAATAAGGAGCCCTCAGAGTGAAGTATTTGAGGTGATTATGCTTTAAAGGAGATAAGAGAGTGGGAAGCTCTCCAGAGATGCCAGCTGCTTCCACAATTTTCCAGGGTGCCTGCTTGGCTGAGTAATCAACCACCTGCTGCCTCATTCCCCATATGACACATCAGATTGCACTCTGCAGCAGTCAGGCAAGGAAGTTGCCACTGAGTAGTCTCAAAAGAGCCACTGCGCAAAGCAGAAAGTTCACTCTTCCTTTTGGGAGATCTAGTCCCAGATCTTTGTTTATTCCATATTCCAGAATCGGTGTTCACATTATCATGCTACACTAAGCCGTAATTTCACAAACCACATTTCTCCCTTGTGTGTTGTTTGGACCTGGCCCTTATAATCAATTCACTGTCATACTCACACACCCACATCCATACACACTACTAAATTAGTTTAATTCAGAAAATCATGGGCGAGTTAAATTTAGGGGAAGCTACCAATCATATTATACCTCAGCAGATCTTGTTTATTTTTCAACAAGACTCTATTACAGTTATGGTTTATTTATTAGATTTTCATTTTCACCTTTATTATGTTTTACGTAACTCAGTTGTGGCAAACTTATATAATACTCCTTCCTTCTCCTATTTTCCCTTCAACAATAACCTTGGGCGGTAAGTTGAGCTGAAAGAAAGTGACTGGCCCAAAGTTACCCAGCTGGCTTTTGTGCCTAACTCTCAGCCCCCTGGTTTCTAGGTCAGCTTCTTAACTGCTACACCAAAGTGGCTTTTCTCAGACTGGTTGAGACTGGGACACTTGATATATGTGCCAAGTCAGTCCTGCCATTGGCTAAATTAACTGTCATGTCAAATAGTGTATACTAGAGAGTGTTGAACAAGTGACAAAACAAATGTATGCACTGCATTCCTGAAATTAGCTGATTGTTCTTGCCACTGGTTTTGATTTAAGATTTTATGAGTTTGAGAAGAGACGGAAATATACTTTGCAGTTTAATTAGGTGACAAAACATCTGTGTTATCACAGATGCAGCTGCTGGATAGAAACCATTTTCAGCCTGATCTTAATGTAAGAGCCCATGATTTGAGCATCCTGAGCCTGGTAAATTGATTTAGGCATTTGTGGTGACTAGACAAACTAGGACTTGTCTGTGTATGTTGTTGTGAAAACTCAAAAGTTATTTTTCTGTGCAGCATCTTAAAGTAAAACTTGCCTGCTTTGAAAACAGACTTGCACTTCCCGGTTTATTGGCAGTCTGTCCTTTATCTTCCAAGTCTGCTTTTTAAAATCTTGTACTGCAGAAGGATGTCCTTTTCTTGCTTGTTTGTCAGTTTATAAAAGCAATTATTACTTGACTGCTATGCAAGTGCAAAGGAATGTCATTCTAGAATTTTTCGTAATGTTTGACCTCATTGGAAAGAAATGTAGGAAGCACACAGAACGTGTTCAAGATGGAAAGCAGGAAATTGTGCACAGAACTGAGGGAATAAATTATTTTTTCTGAAGTTAGGGACCTGCAAATGATTTCTCAAGAATTTCTTTGGAAAAATAAATCTTGTAGAAGAGATGGCATAGCCAGAACAACTTTTACAATAAGTTGAGCAGTTGGACAACCACTACACTCAGAGGTAAAACAAAGACACATTCTGGTGAGAGAGAAGTTCCGTGAGGATAGACTCCTGCACAAGTTCAAAAGCTTGGAAGACTAAACCTCTGGTTCTGATGATAGTCCCAGATTGGATCCTGCAACATTAACTTGGGACACATATATTTGCCTTCATTTCTGAAAGCCACAAAAGAGCATTGATATATATATTCTCAGACCCAAACACTGATCTTCCACTTTCCCATTTAGGTTTTGATCTTGGTAGTTAATTCTGCCATATCTGTAATGCAAGAATCTAGGCACAAAAAGGTGCAAGAAAACTAATTGTTTGCTGCAATCTAGTATTTGTTCAGAATTTTGCTTATACTAGCTTATACTAGAAGGGAATGAGAAAGCAGCCTATTTTTTTAAGACTTCATCTAAATTTGCTTAGAGCACATTTAACAATTAGCCTTTAAGGAGTTGTACACAATGTGTAAAAGGCCTAATCTGGTTTATCTTTAGAGCAACACTGTGATATAGTTTAGGCTGAAGAGCACCCCAGGACTCCCAATGATGATTGAAAGCCATAACCACATTTTCCAGACCAGTTATTTACAATATTGACTCATGCTTCTATTTTTCATCTATAGAACGCATACGATGTTGCTGCTGAAAATTAATAAATGATATATCAATGTATCGTAGTTCCTAGTTATGGTGAGAAAAAGCTTGATTCTACTGAATTACTGAAGCTAAGCGGCTTTTGGCTCTGGTCTGTGTCTGAGACTCCTTGAGAATCCTTTATATGTTGAGCCAACTGGGACCTGCTACTACATGATGAGAATCTGTCTTTTTCACTGATGATATTACTCTTGGCCACATTAATGTCTTATTAATAGCTGAGAAGAAATCTGAATCAGTTTTAAGTTGTCCAGTTATGTTCTTGTCATGTGCGATTTCCAACTCTGAGCAAAACAGGAAGTTATTAGTAGCCCTTTCAAGGAGAGATGTATTTTCTGATGTATAGTGAACAGTGACCTCTAATTTTCTGCCTGACTAGAACTGCAAAAATCTCATCTATCAAAAATCAGCCGACTACAATATATAACGAGTAGGAGGT